ATACCTTTTATAAGAATATATATATATATATTATATATTTATTATGATATTTTTTATTTGTGCGACTTACTTGTGTTATATTATACTAATTTTTTAACTTACACTATATAATTACACTAAATATAAATATATCAATTGAGAAATAATTTTATTTTTCTAATGAATTTTAATAAATATTATTATTTTTTATTATTATAAAGATAAATATAATTTATTTATTTTATATATACAATATGGATGTCAAATCGAAGATCATCAAAAGATGATTAATTTGATATATTATATATGTAAAACCGATAAGAAATACAAAAGTTATCTACTTTTAAAATACATTTATAATTCAATATCTTATTGAAGGAAGGAAATCAAAATTTAGGGATATATTAGTCACTTAGTGTCTCACTATGTAAAATTACAAATAATTAAAGGGTTATATTAGTAAAAGTGATATTAAAATACCTAAGTTAGCTAAATAATATTTATGGAATACCCAAACCTAGATTATTAATTATTAATATATTAATATTACTTGTCCAAACCTAATTACGAAGCATGATTCTTTGCCAAATAGGATTCCGAAGCACCAGAAGCAGCCACGTAAGTTCAGCGCATTCTGTAATTATATATAAGGAGGATTATGTCTGAGTAATCTTATTTTTATAAGTACGAGACTCCTGAATAATTACAGTAATGGTAGGAATAATTAATTTATCATATTTAATTGACCTACAATTAATGTTTTCCAAAGGAAAAAAATATTTTCTCCATATCTTCATCCATGGCCAAGCAAAAACACCATATACCAATCCGAATAAAAATTAAAGATAAAGGAAGTTCTTAAGTGTGAAGGCTGATTTGAAGGTGAGCGTCGAGGATTTGAGTTGAGAGGTCGGCGAGAGGATGAGATGTTGAATTCATGAGCAGAGTTGGTTGTGAAGCGGTGGAGGGTGGTGGCGGCGGCGGTGACACCGACGATGGTGGGGAAAGGTATGGTGGCGTGGAGGTGAGGTACGACAAGGCCATAAATTTAGAGGGGATGTGTGTTGGTTGTGGCGAGATGGCCTCTGTTTACGGTCAGATAATTGTAATGGTGGGGCTTTCAATTCAGATTATCTGAGTTTTTTGCACTGATTTGATATTTGGACTGAGAAAGCAAGCCTTTGGAAGATAAAATCGATATCTCCGTTAATGGCTCATGAGCTATAATATTTTGTTTATCTACCGTTTATGTTGAGTATAACGTTTATGCTTATGGGTGATATAGAAATTTATTTGTTGTGTTAATTGATTTGGATTGCTCTTTAATTTTTTATGATTTTTCATGAATTTGAGGAATGCGAGTTGCTCATACCCAATCCAATATTGAAGCATATCAAAGTTCTCAATAGCGACGACAATATCAAGATTGATGCCACAATAAAAGAGAAGAAAGAGAAGGGATGCAAAAGTGATGATGACTCGTCTTGGTCGCTACCAACTACCACTTCAAGTTAACAATGACATATCGCTACCAACTACCACTTCAAGTTAACAATGATATGTCATGTTTGTTTTTGAAATTTAATGAATCGATTTTGACCTATATGTACTGATATAATTCGTGGTCTTATCGTATGAATTGTTTTTTATTTTTATTTTCTTATTTTTACGTTTTAGTACAAGTTTTTTTTTTTTATTATTTTTTTTTTTTTTGCACTATGAGATTGGAATGTTTGCATGCTGACTTTGAATTTTCTGTCGAACGTGATTTTTTTATGTTTCAGTGAAAATGTTGCTATTTGATTTTTTTTATTATTTAACGTTTGCGTTCCGTATACAAAAATGATGGGGATAAGTACACATATTAATATACTTCACTTTACAAAAATATATACCATGTTTGAAGATGTACGTAATATATACACAATACATATTGTTGTTATACTTTAGTAAACATATCCTTTAGGATATATGCAACATATATATTACCATATAATTACGTTAACACAACATATACTTTATGTAAACACAACAGTGTCATCCAGTGGGATATGAATACCCTGAACCCATTTGTTTTCTCTCAATTAAACACCACATATAGCTATATTGATAAACTTCAATGGGGTAATTCATATATAATATTGTTCATGCAATAGAAAGTAAATGTTCCCTATAATCTTTTACACAAAATATACGCTAGTTAAACAAGAAGTATTCTCAAATATTACAAAGATTTATAAACACAAGGAACTCATTGAATACTAACCAAACTCGGTCACGAACTCGCTCGACAACTCGTAATCAACCATTCAATCGTACGTCGTCCAAAAGAAGTTTCAATTTCATAAATATCTTCGTGACTAGCGAGCCACTGGCATTCATGGAAGCAGAAGGGGAAGTGGTTGCTGCTCCAGATGGACGAACGTGGCGAGGAGATTTATATGAAGGGGAAAATCGATGAATTTGAGGGTGTGGAGGTCGATTTAAAGGCGAACATTAAGGATTTGAAGAGAGAGGTCGACGAGAGGGATGAGATGTTGAATTTCCTGAGCAGAGGCGGTTGTGAAGCGGCGGCGACAGCAACAGCATGGGTGGGGAAAACTATGGTGGCATGGAGTTGAGGTACGGCAAGGCCGGAGTTTTGGAGGAGGTGTGCTTTGACCTGGTAAGATTTTTTATTTTTTTTATCCTACTTGATTTCCCTTTAATTAGCCTAATTAAAGAGAAGAATATATTTTTGTACCAAAAAAAAAAAAAAAAGAGAAGAATATATTTTGAAAGACAATAATATTCGTAAGCAGGAATATAATTATCCTCCAAAATTCTTAATTGGTAAAACCTCTCACCATTAGTTTATATAAAAATAAGTCATATGTGGTATAGGTATGTAAATTTCCCTAGATTAGACGGTCACCAGGACTCCAACATTGCAAGAAGTATAGAACAAAAAAAATATATCTTAAGATTGTTTTTGCATATAAATTATTAAATTTATTCAATCCATACTCGGTTCATACTAAAAATCTAACGCAACTTTAACTCAACTCCACTATGATCAAAATTATCAATATAAGTAGTAATATCAACTAATAATTCTTACAAATCACATAATTTGTAATTCACTATTAATCCACTCACATAATTTTAATAAATTATCACTTCACAACATCTCTCTTTTATTTTTACATCAAATCAACTTTAATTATTTTATTTTAAATATTATTATAATATATACTCAAAATCCAACTAACAACTAACTATATCACATTTTTTAAAAATAATCATAACTAACAAAAAAAAAAACAAAAAACTCATTTTCAGCATATATATTTGAATACAAGCACATTTGAATACAAGCACACCCTAGATGTTGCTTTTTCTTTTTCTTGCTTTCAATTTAAGGTTAGACTTCATGTAGACGTATGATTTCTTTTTGCCCAATTAGGATATACAAGTTGGAAATCCGACCTTAATCCTCTCCACTGAGTGCATTCTTTTAAAAAAAAACACACCCTAAATGTTAACAGAACAATTAGACAGCTACACCAACAAAAAAGGGGAATTCGCCACTTAATAAAAGCTACAACAAAAATACAAAGTTTACAAAAACTAAAGAAATCAAGAATTACTTCGAAAAAACACCTTGTCCGGATAATGGCCGTGATGCGAACGGAAGACGAAGAAAACAAGGAACAAAATTATTTGTTAGGGGGAACAATAGAGCATAGTAACGAAAAAAATGAAACACGATTACACAAATGCATTCCCAAACCCAACGACTCTCCAACCTCTAAACCTAACATAGGTCATAACTTAAAAAACACAAAAGGGTCTTTCATCTATCTATCTTACATGCCTTCAAGAAATGCTTCAATAATAACGACCAAAAAAAAGAAATGCTTCAATAACCTGATGCTCAAAAGTCGAAACAGCATGTATGAGACAGCTGGCTGCCGAAAATCGGCAACCGTTGAGCTCTACAAGAAATAGTCAGGCGTCCTCCGGGTAACATCTGGTTCTCCTCTCCTTGGAGCTGGTTCAAACTGCAGTGAATCACAACACACAAAACATGCATTATATTTTATGCCCAACATAAGCAACATTAACAAACAAGAGTGAAAATAAAGCTTGCAGAGAGAGAGAGAGAGAGAGGACCTGGATGAAGGTATGCTCCCTGCAGTCGTCAACTTCCAAAATGGAGGCCATATTTCCACACCGGTAACAGTAGTTTGGTGCACTAAAAATAGTGACAACCTTTTGTTCCTGTGTAAAAATCAACAATGAATATATCTATATCCTCCAATTTTGACTGAATGAAATAATACAAGATCATAAGATAATTATGAGTTCACATAATTACATGGGCCCAGTTATATCCTTCCATAACCAGCTGATGGGCTCTTGCAATTAATTTCAGATTGTTGGTGTGGTTGAATTGCTCAGATATGTCCTGCAAAAAGTAGAACAAAAGATTCAGAATTAGGTTCAAAGAAAGGAAAAAAAGAAGAAGAAGAAAAAGAAAATAGAAGAAGCATTCAAGAACCTGGCCAAAAGTGTATCCAGCACCACGAGGCGAGATACCCCAACCACATCGATCATCAGGATCAGACCACAAAAGGTCGCACATTGGACCCTCGTGTGGAACTTCTTGAACACGATCAAAGTTCCTTATATTATCGAGGGTTTCAACAGATGGGGACAATCCCCCATGCAGACAGAAGATCTCTGATTCAACCTACATAAACATCACCACCCAAATAAAACCTAAGGAAGGTACAAATTGATATCATAAACAGATGCACGTAGCTCCAGCTACAAATTAACTTACTCCACATATTTCTGCTCCTGCAAAACAATAATAAGAAAGGCTTGCTATTGACAATTGAGATCTACTTTCACTTACAAAGGCAGATATATACCAACCCATGGGGACAGAGAGAGAGAGAGAGAGAGAGAGAGAGAGAGAGAGAGAGAGAGAGAGAGAAGGATGACATCAAGAAATTGGGCAAGAACAGTAATAAGAAATGTCTACCCACCAGCGCAGTCAGAGGGAAATAGTCAAACAGGTCAGTGAATATCTTCCAAACATTGGCATTTCCATACCTATAATCAAAGAGGGAATTTAAGGTTTGTATTAGTATCAGTAAAAGCAAAAATTTCTTTGAGAGTACGCGCAGAGTGAAAAAAGAACACATTCTTAGGCACCACAGCTTTGTAACTTAAACAAATATAGGACTCACATCCTTATTGACCACACATTTTAACCATTAATAAATTTTCAGTACTAAATGTCTAAATCATATCCCAACTGAATTGTTGCATCCTAAAATAGATCTTCTCTTCAGCACAATGCAAAATTTAGATACAGATAAAAGTAATCAGCAGGAGTCTCAACCGACACTATCATCATTATGAACCCACGATCATGTTAGTTACGAAATCATATGAAAACTTACAAAGCTTTATTACTAAGGAAAATCCAATTTACAAGAATATTTGGTTTGTGTCACTTAATCAAAGTCTTCCAAGATTTTGCAGAAGCGAGAATATAAGTATATGATGCACAATTCTAAACAGTTTGGGAATAGTGATATGAGAAGAAAATACTCACTTCCTCAGGCATTCATCATAAAAACCATATACTTGAGTGATCTGCAAGAAATAAATTATTAATGACAGAAAGCATCAGCCAAAAACTTAATGCCAACTCAAACAACGCATACATTCAGCAGTCTGGAGCAATTAAATAATGATTATTACCTACAGTATAAAAGTTTCAGTTCCTCATATCCCAAGGATGATAAAATGAGTAAAGAAAACAGAAACAAAACATAACAAAAATAATGGCATGAAAAAGCAAAAAAAAAAAATGAACATTTCCTCTACATAAAACATAACCAACTTTCCGACTGAATGTGGTGGATATGTAACAGCTGCCAGCAGTCTCGGATTTTATACCAACCAGCCATGCAGTGTTCATTGCACTATGACACTATCTTTGCAATACATAAAAAATGTCCTCAATCTTGTGTTACAAATCAAAATTGGGGATGGAAAAGCAAAAAAAATAAATAAAAATGAGCATTTCCTCTACATGAAACATAACCAACTTTCCGACTGAACGTGGTGGATATGTAACAGCTGCCAGCAGTCTCAGATTTTATACCAACCAGCCATGCAGTGTTCATTGCACTATGACTCTATCTTCTCAAGACATAAAAAATGTCCTCAATCTTGTGTTACTAATCAAAATTGGGTATGTTCACATAATGGAAAATAATATATAACAGTTTCTTCAAACCATATAAAGCACCAAATTCAACAAAATACTTTTTTCGATCACACATGCAGTTGACATGTCAACGTATTTATTACCCCATCCTTAGAAAAAAATTTAAAAATAAAAAATAATGGAAAACTAACTCCATACTGCATAAGATGTTTAAGATTTTAAGGAACGAATGAGAGAGAGAAAAAAAAGGAAAATTAAAAATACCTGTCGGCTTTCATGATTTCCTCGTAGAATTGTGATCCGTTGAGGATATCGCACCTTCAGAGCCACTAAAAGCTGCAGGAACATAAATCAGTAAGGATCTCAAATAAAAATATTCCTACAGAATTATGTAAGATGCATCACACAAGAAACATGTCATGTGACACTGGATCCACGCAACCACAACCACACCCAAAACGAACAAAGTGGGGGATCATTCGAAAAACAGAAGGGAACAAACTCATATAGTAGCAATGTAGCACTACTATCATGACCTGAAATTCACAAGCAGGGCAGTGATTATGCACAATAAAGCCATGAAGTTTGCACTTACAGTGACAGTTTCAACTGAATAGTATCCACGATCAACATAATCTCCCATGAAAAGGTAGTTCGTGTCTGGACACTGTCAATGATAAAATGGAACCATATTAGCAAGAATATAACAAGCAATACATTTTCAAGCAGGATATTGAGTTATATAATAATAAATGAATTAAGGGAACAAAAAGGAGTCAAAAACCCAGGCCACAAACACCCAATGCAGCGGATTTTAGCCATCTTTCAATCCAAAATAATTAAGTAAATAAAAACAAGACTGGCAGCGATACAATGAACTAATTGACATGCCTTTATTTCTTAGCAACACAAGTTTATAGGAGATTATGATACCTTCCCTCCAATACGAAAAAGTTCAGCAAGATCATGAAACTGGCCATGAATATCACCACAAATTGTAACTGGACTTTTTACCGGCTGAAAAGAAATCAATATAGAATATTAAAACAAATTGTTATTCACAGTATACAGAACATGTCGATGCATGATGAACTTGACGCAGGAACACAAAGTAAAGCATGGATAGTGGAAGTATGATTAATACAGTTTAGAGAATAGAGATCACATACAATTCAGAGGACCACCTATAAAGTAAGAGTAAAATGCAGACATATTCCGAATTCTTAAGTTTAACCAAATGTATGCAAATAAGTATTCTTGAGCGAATGATTGATAATAGATTTAAGCAAATGGAATAATTTTGGATCAAGGAGCTGGCAGACACCATTTTCACTAAATTTGACATAATTTTAAGGTATCTTCCCTTCCATATCCTTCGATACCCATTTCCAATCCTTGAAAACAAAAATATATAGCAATAAAGAAAGGTAAAATTATTCATATAGAATAATTAACTGATCAGAAGTAGCCTACTGCCTTATCACTGTTTATGCAACTGTAAATTTATAAATTCAATAAAGCTCGACGATTCAAAACGAAGCCGTGTCCTAATTAGTTGATCAATGTGAATAATGTCGAAATATTTAGAGAACTATACATAGATCATACCTGAACATTACTTTCATCCATTAGTATCTCTTTTGCCTTCTCGCACAAGCCCCGAACCTACATTTACAAAATCAACATGACAGATCAGACCACAATGCGAACCCATCAAAAACTTAGCTACCATGTCATAAATAAGCTAAAACTACATTATCCGTTATAACTACCCAGTGTCTGTCACATTAGTCCGCTCTTCAAATCCAGTCCTTCATAGACATATCTTGGAAAAGCACAACCATACCGGGCTTGAGAACAATGTCATACTTCATACAATACCAATCAATGGGAGTTATTTCCGCAAGGACACCATGGACAATCTGTGGACTATGACGAATAGCAGATGTGGGCATGCAGCAAATCTATATTCGACTCTTCAACAAATTATGCCCAATTAACAGACACTACTAACTGCCACAAGATACACTGAAGATGGAACACATACAAAACGCAAAACCTGGTGTTTCTTCGTCTTTCACGCTCTACACGGTCTGGTTTTTCTTGCAATTTCATCAATACATTCATCAGTAGTAAATCATCATCGATAACAACAGCCACAACAAATCTTATTTCTCATTCATCCCAATAAGCATATCCTTTGTTCCTCAATAAAATAAGTATCCATTCTTCTTGTCCAATTATAGTGGAACCCATGACCACATTCTCAATCTATGAGTTCGTTCAGAGTAGATCATATTCTCAACAAAGAAAAATTGAAATTTACTGATACAGCTAAACACATCAATACATTATCTCCCCACCCCGATAATTATTCCAAGAAACCCTAGGGGCTGGCTCAAACTACAAAAGTTTGGAAATTTCACTCAATAAAGCGAACAAGAATCACACATTTAACCCAGATTTTCGTCAAACTCACAACTACCAGATCCGTAAGAGCTCAACCCATAAAAATGAAAACAAATCATGAAAACCAAATTAGAAAGAAGATGCGGGGACATGAAGAAACCTCTGGTTCTGACAACGGCTTGCACTGCATGAGCTGGGAAATCTGCTCGTCAAGATTCCCATGTGTGCTCTCAGCCACCAGATCCGCACTCATCTTGCTGTATTCTCCGTTTCTTTTCCAGATCCAACCGTTCGTTCTTCAGTACGGCCCCGCTTATGAAAATCGAAGAAAAAAATGGTTGCCCCGAGAAGATAAGCCTCAACCCTAGGCCAAGATTCAGCGGACTATGAATGTATGGAGGGTAAGAGTGTAGGAATTTGTATGCGTGTGCGTGTGTAGAGAGAGAGAGAGAGAGAGAGAGGAACTCGTAATGGAGATTGGAGCGGGTGGAACCGAGGGAGAGATGCAAAATCGATCTGCGCTTTCCAATTAAAAATTGAAAAATTTGAGACTGTTCGACTTTAATAATTTAGATTATTAGAAATCTCAAATTATCATTTTGTTTTGCATAATATGAAAAAGGAGATTGAAAATCTGTCTTCAATGGAATATTTTTGTAAATGATACAATTACATAATAAATATACATAGATATGTACACTCACATGGAGTGGGGTCCACTTATTTTTTTTTTTTAGGTCCCACTCAATGTGAATTTTATGTACACCTTCATATACAATATTATGTACCTATAACATTTCTCAATTTTTTTTAAAAAAATTTAAAAAAAGCGGGGAGGTAATCGAGAACTGTAGAGAGGTAAACCAGGGTGCCAATTAGATGTGCCAGAGCTGAGCCAAGACGAGTTGGCCAGCAGGCGGGCGCCTGTGACCAAAGACAACACCAACACTTGGCGCATAATTTTGTTATTGTTTTTTTTTTTTTCCAAAACGATAGATATTATTATAAATCAAAAGTGCACAAATGTGCGAATACAAGCAACTCCTAACTGAATGAGAACAGTCAACAACTGAAAAGTGGGATGACAAGTCAGAAGACCGCCTAGAATCTTGACTAGCAACGCTAGAATAAAAACTCGCAACTAAACTAACCAACTACACAAACAACTAAAACAACTAAAAAAGACCCCAACAGGGTAATATCCGAGTGTCGGATCCCAACAGGATAATAAGTTGACACTCGGGCTCACATGGGCCAACGACCCAAACCAAAAACACAAGACACGAGCAACACAAACACAATCAACACAAAACGGACAAAACAAATACACAAATAAGCTACAACTAAGCCCATCCCCAGCAAATCAAAACAAGTCGAATCAGCAGAGAACAAACCTCTCCAAGCAAGATCCAAAGTCCGAAGGACTGCTTCAGAAACTGCAAAAATGGCTATACAAAAGCCGAACCGAAACCCCGAATCAAACCCGAAATCGACCCGCCACCAACCAGAGGAACCACAGCCGGCTCCCAATGTCCTCTAACTCTCTTTATTGTAATAAAAAAATTAAATCTCATTTAAGATTCCAACATGGGAATGACTCTTGACCTTCGAATCAAACAACCATCGTTTTACGTGCCCATATTTGTGGAAAACTTTAGTTATTAATTTCTCGTTCACAGAAAATGAGTTTTGAGAAAATAAATATACTAGGAGTATCTACTCGGAACATAAAAATTTTATACATAATTTAATCAACTTGGATTTAATATTTAGCCATAAAAAATCAGTAAAAACAAGTGAAACTCAAGTTTCTATAATTTATTTTCTAACCAAACACCCCTAAACTAAATATATTCCTGACAGGGCCTACGTCCTGTCCACAATCCTCTCAAAGTATAAACTACTGAGTTAGATGGAACTATATCCAAAACTTATGCTGCTGTTTGCTCAACCCCAAGACGAAAAAATGAAAAAAATATTGGTAACTCGTCATTGACACGACCAATCTACATAATAGACCGTTTTCTTCGTTGTCGTAACACCCCGCCTACTTACTACTAGACTTATGAAAATCAGAGTAAATTTTTTCATTTTAATTTAAAAAACACTAATTAAACTTTTAGAAAACACTTTAACTTACTCGTGGGATGCTACCTTAATTACTAACTTACTTACTTAGTGAAAATTTCTTTTTCTTCTCTTTCTATTCTTAGGCATATTAATAACATCATGCACGCAATCAAACCAAAATAATATTCCACTCCCGGAATAAAGTACTATGGAAATACTTGAATTAATGGATTTAAACATGCATAGTCTAATGTCACATAGTCTTATAGTGCGGAAGCTAAGGAATAGTTCAAAAACATGGTCAAACACTAAGCATCATAATCGTTTTCAAAAGATATACTAGCTTGGACCACCACCACAGCCACTTATGCTCCGTGCTGGACTCCATCACCTAAAAAAAATAGAGAATGGGGGCGTGAGCAAAACCACTATGCTCTGCAAAAACCAGTACTAAAGTACACATCAACCATAATAACATATCATGAAATAAGCATATATGCATCTAAACTGAACTGTTTTACTTACTCTCCTCGACACTTGGCCGGTAAAATCCTGTGCACACTCTGATGGGATAATAAACACACTGGAGCCCCACCAGAACCTGGATTAAGGACACTTGGCCTCTATCCGGGAGATTTAACTAGAAGGACCTAAACTTGCAGGTCGTTGCCCATGCTAGAGAAAACTCTTACATACATACCTCAAACATGGTAAAGCGATTATAGAAAATATAGCGCCAAGTAGGGGGTCCCCACCTGATAGGCTGATAATGCAAATGCTGGAAAATGCTCATAGCTGGCGGAGGCTCGACTCTCCTTAAGCTACAAAATATTCAAGCAAAATATTTCTAAGACTTTTGCTTAACTTAAGACACTTGGCTCTTTAATTTTTCAAAATTTACTAATTATCTTAATTAATAAATTTTAGCTTCTCTTTACTTACTGTTCGTACTTAATTGTTCTCTCGTTCAGCTTAAATTTATCTTTATCTTATTTTCATAACTTAGCTTCCCAATGGCTTGGCGAGAATAATTTAATTAACGTGCTTAGCTATTAAATTTGAGGCTGTCTAGGGTTCTTGGATAATTTTTCTAAGTCCAGAACTAATTTTTCTGACTTAAATTGGACTGACTCGACTCGAAAAAATGCTTAAGTCCCAGCTCGCTCGGACCGAAACCTCGAACTGGAATTTCTCGAACCGCCCGAAGACTGGCCCAGACTGGTTCCGTGATTGGACCGGCAACTCGTTGGTGAACCGGTCAGTCGCTCGTTGGCTCGGTACGCGCAAGGTCGGCAGATCACGACAACTCTCAGCATGCGTAGACCCCTCTGGGCGCGAGCCTCGCGGGTGCATGGTTAGGCTGCAGGGGGCGCCGCAGGTCACTTGTGCACGGGCGCGCTCGGACTGCGGCTGGCAGGCGCTGGAGCATGGAACAGGACGCAGAGGACGACTAGCAGGGGGCAGGGGTGTTGTGCAGAGCGTAGGGGCGCGACTCGGTCGAACTGGGATGGCTCGGCGACGGCACGACTGCGGACAGGGGCGCGCGCTGCAGCGAGGCGCGCTCGACAACGCTCGCTGCGGCCTTGGCCGGCCGACTACTTTTCCCGGCAACCCAAGTGTTAAATCGATCCTTATGACATCTAGGGTTCATTTATGCCTATAGTGCTCGTGATAACTCGACTCGATTTTAAGGTGGCCTAAGCTTAATTTTTCTTAACTTAGGTCTTGATTTTTATTTACTTTTTGGCAACATATCTAGTGCACCAAAAATTTAACCAACTTATCTTAACATATTCAAGCCTCAGTTTCAGTTTGCCTCGGTGAAAATATGTAGAAATCAGAAATCACTCGGCACCCAAAATCAAGCTAAATTAGGGTTTCTAGTTCACCAAGCAAATCAACTCATTTTAATCTAAAGTTTTAGGCGTGAACTTACTCTGATTTATCATGATTTTTTGTGTAAAAACTTCATCAACAAGTACTAGCATGCATCTTTATTTTGGTTTGGGTTCGATTTAAGCCAAAACTGAGATTTTATTTACCCTAGCAAATGACCTCCAAAAATTTTCAAATTTTATACATAGGCTTAGCATAATATTTAATAATTTTAGACTAAAGATCTCAGCAAGTCCTAGCACATACCATAAACTTCATGAAATTGTCGATTTTGGTCTAAATCTCATTTTTAGTTCATCTAGCAAACAAACTCCAAATATTCAAAAATTTTAACCTCAGCCTTAACATAATATAATATGGTTTTAAATACAAGTTCTTAGCATGAACTCATCTCTAACTTAAACTTCATAAATTTACCGATTTAAGTCGAAATCTCTATTTTTTTAATCCAAATATCCTCAAAATTTATACATAGGTCCAACATAATATTTAATAATTTTTAGGCAAAACATCTCAACATGTACTCAAGCATAACATAAACTTCATGAAATTGCCGATTTAGATCTAAATTTGGATTTTTTGGTTCACCTAGCAAACAATTTCCAAAAGTCCTACAATTTTAACCTCATCATCTACACACTATTTGTCTTCCAAATTTTAACCTGAAGATTTCTGGAAAAATCAAATTCTTATTTCCTGAATCAAGTTCCAACTCCAGGCAGAAAATTTAAGGATTGATTAACATAAATTCTTATTTTATTAATCTTCTTCATTTTCTTGCTTTCTTAAATTTTGTAATCTTTAAAATTCATGTCTAAGTCATAGGAAGGGTTTTAAGATTGCCTATGTTATACCCCGAGTTTTATTAATAAAGGAAAATACTAGCTTTTCATTTTAAAGCTAGCCTTTGTTAATAAATAATTATGTTCATGTCCAAATTCAAGTTATTCAGCTAGTTATATTCCAAGTTCGACTATTAGTCGATATGTTATTCGGTTTGATTATCCCGGTAACCGAATGAGTTTTCAGAATTAATTCGATTCATTTAATAAGCTAATGAGTCCGGAATTAATAAGCCAAGTTGACGAACTATTCGAAATAATAATGTTCGGATTAATCGTCTAAGTCAAGAATATTTGAATTAAGTTTCGAATGTCATATTTATGTTCGGAATAATTTTCCGACAGTTAATTCAGTTAAAGTTCCTTAAGTCAAGTTCGGTTTTCCTATACAGCGGTGCATTCACATTGGTACACCGTCCATCATTAATTAAGTAATGGTCATTAA